AGCTTAAGAGCTCAGGGACAGCATCCAGGCCTAGTGTTCAAGCCCTACAACCTACATTAAAAAAAAAAAAAAGAATATCCTCCTTCAGTTTCACAGTGTGTGACTGTCCAAAATGAGTCCAACTCTTTTTTTTAGTTTAATTTTATTGTCAAGGTGATATACAAAGGGGTTACAGTTACACACGTAAGGCAGAAAGTACATTTTTTAAAATTTTTATTTATGTTTTATTATGAAAATACCGTACAGAGGGGTTACAATTATATGGGCAAGATAATGAGTACATTTCTTATCAAGCATTGTAGCCTCCTCCTTTGTTTCCCTTTCCCATCCCTTCCCATCCTCCTCCCACCCCCCCACCCAATTCTCCCTGCCCCCCCACCACCAAAGTTGTAAAGTTCGTTTTCGACATAACAACTTGTACTTCTCATTGTTGCAACGGGTCCACCTGTATCCTTATTTAAACGACTTGTTTTTCCCCTTCCCCTTCACAAATTATACCGACATCAAATACAGTGAAAGCAGGGGTTATACTGTGGGGGAGGGACATACAAAACAACAAAGAAATAATCTTATAAATGTGTTAGAAACAATCGCATGAAAGAAAAAAAAATCATTTGAATACATATCTTAGGGTTCATTTCCCTAACATCACCTTATCTGACCTTTTCTGCTTGACTCAGACATATACTAGATATTGCAAATAAGGGAAACCATGGGACCTATGTTTCTTTGGGCTTGGCTTACTTCACTCAATATAATTTTTTCTAAGTCTTTTCATTTCCTAACAAATGGGGCAATGTCATTCTTTCTGATGGAGGCATAGAATTCCATTGTGTATATATACCACAGTAGATGAATGGATCAAGAAAGTACATTTCTTGTCAAACATGTTACCCCCTATCTCATTTTTTCTCCCACTTTCCCTCCAATTCTTTTTTTTTTTTTTGATCAGTCATAGGGCTTGAACTCTGGGCCTGAGTGTTGTCCCTGAGCCCTTCAGCTCAAGACGAACGAATGCTCTACCACTTGAGTCACAGTGCCACTTCCGGTTTTCTGGTGATTAATTTTTTTGGAGATGAGTCTCACAGACTTGACTGCTTGGACTGGCTTTGAACCGTGATCCTCACATCTCAGCCTCCTGAGTAGCTAGGATTATAGGCGTGAGCCACTGGTGCCTGGCCTCCCTCCAGTTCTTAATCCAGTGGTCCTACCTTACCAGAGATGGGTACATTTCATGGCCCAGTGGATATCTGAGGATAGTACTGAGCCCAGTTATATCCTATTTCTTCCTATACATGTACATCTATGAAAGTTTAATTCATAAATCAAGCACAGTAAGAGATGAGCAATAATAGCAAAATATGACGTTTATGACAATCTGCTATCGTAAAAGTTAGCTGAATGTTTCTCATACCTCAATGTACTGTCTTCACTCTTGCTGGTGAGTATAAGGGGAATCTTTGCACTAAAGCAGGGCTGTTGGAAGATAGCCAGTTGGCTCCAGGCATGTTCCTACCACCCCTGGCCTGGGTGTGGCTACCTCCAGCCACCCACTTAGTGAATGTGAACTTGTTAGCACCTAGGAGAATCCTGCTTCAGCCCAGTGAGCTGCAGTGGCCTTGTCCCCACCCAGGAAGCAAATCTAGTGAAATGCAAGCATGAGACACTTTGTATGAACTCTCTAGGAAGACTAAGGGAATGTGTGCTGATGTGCTGGGAGTTCTTCCTGTAGCTTCCCTCCAGGTAAATATGTCCTAGGTAGTTCCTGCAGAAAAGGCATTGGCAGCTAGGTGGGTGGGGGTGATGTTCTCTTGAGCACTGTACCCATCTGCCCTATGCAGTGTTTCCTGTTTGCATTGTAGTACATCCCATCAGTGAGTGCTGTGAGCTGGTCAGGAGGGCTTGGCCAAGCAGATGGGCATGGATGTGTTCACCCATTGATAGTTCAGAGGCTCTCCCTTCCTGAGACACCATGGCCTGGCAAGCACTTCCTGGGTTTTTAGCCTGATTTCTCTCTTTTTAGGTAGGTAGATTTGGGTCGCATACTGACCTTCTATCCAAGTGTGAGAGGCTTAGAATGATGATACCTTCATATTATATGTGGTTGCTAACCCAGCTACAACAATAGACGACTCCTTCCAAGTCCCACCATGAATGTGGGAAGATGTCAGATGGACTGGACATCTAGAACAAGAGTTTCCTCTGTCGAAACAAATGCTTACTCTTGCTAGAAAGAGACATGCTATTACACAAAATCAAAAAGACAGCCTCCAAGAGAGGAATTAAGCTCTATATGGAGTGAGCCTTGGATTTATCTTTATTGCATTTAAGGGTTTTAGGCATAAATGTAGCTAATCCTGCTGTGAACTCGGCCACAGAGCCCCATGCTCTGGAGGAGGGGACAAGGCTGGCAGAGGTTGTGATCCAGTGGCTCCAGTCACTGCAGGGGCTCACTGGACTCTTGGGGATCTGGAGCACATCGCATTTAACTTGCTGTCCTTGTCCTTTGTGGCCTGTTTCAGATTCAAATGGAGAAATGAAAACAAGCCAGCCAGTGTACATTGGCCAGTTAATGTCTGCAGAGCTCCGCTCTTAATGAGGCCATGTTATGGAGTATATTTCCTGAAGAAGTAGAAGTCAAAGGCATAAAAGCACTTGATTTGTGGCACACTTGGCAGAGCACATTGAGCTTTCCTAAATTTGCTGCAGTTTTCTTAGAAGAAAGCCATCTTCATCCACTTCTAATTCTTTCCTGGTCCCAGTGATTAAATGAAAGTGTACATTTGCGTTTTGTTTCATTGAAAAGCACCTTTACTCCTCTGTCCCACTGTTGTAAATAAGACCCTTTTATCCAGGGAGTATGCATTCCAAGACCCCCAGTGGATGCTAGGAACTACAAATTAAACTGGACCCCATTGTTTAATGCTTTTCTATCTTTACTGGTAGCTTACCAGGCACTGTAGCTATAACTTTTATAGTCTATGAATGACTATAAAAAAAAAAGCTAGCACACTTCTGTTTTGGTATCCTTCCATATTTTCTAATTAGATTTGTTCTTATTATAGATTTCAGTGGCCTCCACATATGAATTTTTTCTTTCTTTATATCAACTTTTCTTTTTCATCTTTTCACTTAAAGAAGGCATTCTGCGGCTTTTTTTTTTTAGCATATCTTAGTTGTCAGAATCACTTTGGGGCCTGGGGACATTAAGTAGAATAAAGGTTACCTGTGCATGTGCATACATGTGTATGTGCACACGCGAGCACACACACACTCTGCCATATCTCCACAGTCAACCTGACCACAGGACTGCTACTAAGTAACTAAATGAGTGGGTAGCTTATCCGTTGTGTGGCTCTACATTGTGTGGATAGAGGTGTGGCTCACATCCCAGACAGAACACACTTGGATCGTGAGTGATGTCACCAGGTCATTCAGTTTAAAATTTAGATGTTGTTTATTTTTGTAATTTTCCAAGATAACCTGAAACTACAGAAAGCAAAGCTACAAGAGTGATTATTATTTAGTCCAGTAGAGAAAAGGGTTAATTTATTCCTGGCCTAGAATAAGACCTCATATCATGGTCCTAAGAATCTCAGTAGCTCATTTGAAATTATAATCAATCGGATAGTCCTAGGAAGGAAGAGTTAGCGTGGATAAATCTCTCTGGTTAGTAGAAATTAACTGTGTGCTAAATTCAGGCATTCCAACTCCTTCCAGAACCCAGCACAGCAACCAAGTGCCTGGGAGATAAATGAGGCTTCCGTGGGCAGAGGTGGCAGCTGGGGGACTAGACCTTGTAAGGGCCCATAGGAGCCCCTAGGACTCTGCAGCACTTCCCTCTAACTCACTGTCAGAGTGGAGAAATTCTGTGCTAAAGCAGCTTCATTAGCTAAGGGTCTGTTAGATTTCTAGCCCATGCAGATCCGAAGTGGTAGAATTAGCAATGGAAAGAAAGGTTTTGATTGGCAGGGACAACAACAGCAGCTATTTTCCATTACCATCATTGGCCCCTGTGCTAGGCACATACAGGGACTGATTTGTTAATGGTCCCTCCCTTTGCAACTGTGATTAACACGAGGAGACATAGGCCTGGTGAGGGGGGCAACGCGGGAAGGAACTGGGAGAAGCAAGAGCCTCACCTGGTCACACCTCCTCCCATCTGCCCTCAGATTCCCAGCCATGCACATCTGTAGTATACTGGATCAAACACGAGCAACACACTGTGAAAGCCCACTGACTCGGGCTTTGTGATAACAGCACGGAAGTTCTTTATCCAAGGCAAAGCAGCCGCGACATTTATAGTTGAACCAGATTGCTTGGGAAGGCTTTTATGGTTTAACAAACACATTGAAAGTATGTTTTGCCAGATTACAAAAGTGTAATGCCTGTCTTTCATTGTAAAAATAGGCATTTTTAAAAAAAAGACAAGGCAGTGAATATAGAGGTAAAAATGAACAGCAGGATGACTGTATTAAACAGTATTTATGTGTGTCCAGGCCCTTAGCCATTCACCTGTGTTAGGGACTAACTTGTGTTTATTTATCACTGTACAGAAATTTAGGATGTAGATGCAAGATAGTGGTTTAGGAATGCTTAGATCCTTCTTTTTCTAAGATAAAGGACTTGGATGTTTTTTTCTTGTCAGCTATCAAACACTGTGACATTTGAATCTATATTGAGTGATAAACTTGCAAAATGTATTATGTGAAAAAGGTGATAAAAGAGTATTCAAATTGTGATGCCATTTGTAAAAGTGGGAAACAATTCTCATACATAAATTTCCCCTTATACTCTCAAAGACTGTCACATAGCCTCTCTTACCTGAACGATGATGTTGGTGCCTTTTGGGAAGTGAGATCTGGGACAGCTTTGATGATCTTCACTGTAGCTCTGGCCTGGAATGAAAAGCAAACCATTTTCTGCCTGCTTTCTAGAAACCCACACCTGCAGACTGGGAAAGGAGGCTCCCCTCACTTCCTCTTCTCTCTCTGTTGCAGGAAGGTGTGGAAGTACGAGTGGCAAGGATCTTCAACACCTTTGGGCCACGAATGCACATGAATGACGGGCGGGTGGTCAGCAACTTCATCTTGCAGGCACTTCAGGGGGAACCCCTCACGGTAGGTACCACTTGCGGGGTTAACCAGATGGACAATCATCCCACAGAGGTGAAGGACAGCAAGTCATTTATTCAAAGAAAAATGATTCTGTAATTGTCATTTCATAGCCTTTTGTATCTCTGCCACATTTGTGAAGGGGAACGAAGGTATGTAGACAGAACCCACATGTGGAACAGTTTCACCATGAAATTCGTGCATCTACTTTGTCCATTGCCCATGCCTGGGACCAGGTGTGCTTATACCAGCTGCCCTGTTCAAAAATCCTGTCCACTAGGCAACTGATTCATGCCTGTAATTCTAGCTACCGGGGAGGCTAAGATCTGAGGATCACAGTTTAAGCTAGCCTGGGCAGGAAATGTCTCTAAGATTCTTATCATCTCCAGTTAACCAGCAAAAGCCAGAAGAAGAGATGCGGTTCAAGTGGTAGAGTGCCTTCCTTTAGCAAAGAAGCTAGGTGACAGTTCTGAAACTCTGAGTTCAAGCCCCATACTGGCACAAAATAAGCAAACAACATCAACAACAACAAAAAAGCTCCTGTCATTTTCTTGGTATACTGGGTTGTGGCTAAGGGTATCTGGGAAGGATCAGGTCAGGATAGGAACAAGGTGATCTGACTGGATTGATCTGGACATTTATCTTGCCAAGAATGACAAGCACTTGGTTCCTTCCTCCCTCCCAGTAGGATTCCCTGGTCTGGGGGTCACAAGGCACTGTGAGGATGTCTGCTGACACTAACCACTCTTTGTACCCCCTAGCTATTGTTGGGGGTGGGAGGTACTACACATTCCACATCAGTCCCTGACTGGCTGCTTCCCTGTTAGAATTGTGCCCCTGGTCCACTCATAAGTTTAGTTGAGTTTCTTTATTGGCTTACTTCTTCTGGCTCTCCTCTGACTCTGGACTCTGACTCTCTTTCCTCTGGACTTCTCCAGTGTCTTCTCCAATTTGCCTCAAAGACTTGGCTCTTCACGTCTGTAGCCTTTAGAGACTCTGGAGACTAGCAATCTGTCCTGAAAATCCTGCTTCATAGTTTATTTATTGGCGGGTTGTGTCTTGGAAAAAAAATATTGTAACTATCCAGAATACTCCTCAACCTTTATTAGGATTACATTCTGATAGATGCATCATAAGTTGAAGTTTTCAGATCATCCTGGGTCCAGATGCTCCTTGGCTTCAAATGGGGTTCCATGCAAGTAAAGCCATTGTAAAGTTGAACCATCATTAATTGTGGACTGTCTGTTTGTACATTGGTATCCATCATCCAGTCACTTGATCAATAGTTAGTGGACTGATCTTTTTTCTGATCTTTACAGCTCTTAACTCACAACACTCATAGCAGTTCTGTGGGTTTCAGTGACATTATGCCCATTTTCAAAGTGAGGACACTGAGGCACAAAAATTAGTTTCTAGGCTTCTGCAGCAAATCATGACAACTTGAGTTGAACCCAGAGCCCCTTCTTAGTCCCTGTTTTCCATGATATCTGTCACTCATATGTTAGCTGCTTAGCTTATACCCAAGGTAGAGGTGCTCTGCAAGAGGGTTTTGCTGGACATAGGTGAGTCCAGCACCAGTTCTAAGTTCCTCATAGCCAGCTCTCCTCACCTCCTTTTCTAAGTGGCGTCTCTGTGCCCCTGACAAAGGTTCCAGCATGGCTCTTCTTCCCACACCAGCACCTCCTAATGGCCTGGCTGACGTATTGCCATGGGACTACTCTTTTCCTTCTGTTCTCTCCGAAGAGCTTACCAGCTTACCATCTGGAGAAACAGAAAGAAAAACAAAACCTCCAATGCTTTCCTCCCAGGAATAGCTCAGTTCACGGATCTCTCCTGATATGCCCCACTGTTCCCCACTCTCCATTCAGTGACTTGTCCTGGGAGTACTTCTTTGGACAGTCTCCTCACTAAATGTATTTAGGGGGAGCCTTTTGAGTCACTCTTTATATCATGGCCTAGTTACCATTGCAATTGTCATTTTCGTTATACATGTCGCCGATGAAAATACTAGTTTTCCAGCCCCCTGCCGGTACGTTAGCCCTTCGAACCCAGTAACTTTATTCTATTGGCAGCTGTCTGTGTCCCAGGCCCCAGCACTCAGGCAGTGTAAGATAAATATTGATAAAATGATTAAGTTTATAGTGGCTTCTTTCTGTGGTGATTAGTCAAAGCAGTGTAGCAACATGTCATAGAAGCTAGTGCTTGTAGCTATTATTCCAAGGTGGACCCTGCCCCTGTCCTTCTTGCTGCCACCGTTGGCCTCTGCATCTGCAGACCTCACATCCACAAATTCAGATGACTTTAGGTTGAAGTTATGGTTCAGAACATGGACAGACTTTTTTCCCTCATCATCATTCCCTAAATAAGACAGTATCACAATTATTTTCATGATAGTGACATTGAATTAGGTAGTCTGAGATAGTTTAATTTATTACAGGAAGATATGCGTAGTCTATATGCAAATTGCTGCACCATTTTATCTAAGGCACTTGACCATCCATAGATTTTGGTATTCATGCAATGTTCTGAAACTAGTTCCTGTAGATACCAAGACAGTGCGGAGTTCAGAGGAATAACTTTCTCCAGCAGTTCTGTTGAGGATTCTGCCTCTGCAGGAGAGTGTCTGGTACCTTTTCAGATACTGCTCTCCGTAACTCGTTCTTACACAGTGAGATCAGAGCATTTTGTTTAAACTGTCACAGCCTTCTACTTGATGTATTGCCTCCTTAACTGCCTGCAGTAAGAGCCTCTGTCGGGGCTGGGGAGTGTTCGGGAGGAGAGTAAGTTCCCTGGCTAGCCCCAGAATGCACTCATTGTTAGCAGGTAGAATTAACTCATACATTGTCTTTAGGCCCAACACATTTCTGTCCAGGGACAGAGGGGACAAGACCACCGGTGCCACTGAGAGTGCCATCAATCCGGAACATGCCAGGCTTCCATCCTTCCTAGATGCCCATGCAGGAGCCCTCAGGGAGAACTTCTAGGGTGTGCTTTCTCCCATCAAGAACTTGATAAAGTCACTACCTTATTATATTTCTTGCCCTTGTCAAATGGTAAGGAGTCTGGAGAGAGCCACACTAGGCTTTCTCTAACCAGCCTGTGTTTTGGAACACTTTATTAAGGGAAGGAACTAGGGGAGATATGTTTTATTTTCCCTTTGCTGTTGTAGCCTCAACAAGTTTCTTTTGAGATGAAAGAAAGACCTTTTGGGGGCAGATGGGCTCAGCTCTGGCTTTTCTCTCTCCCCTACCCCTCCTTTGTTTTTTCTCAGCCTCCTGAGTAGCTAGGATTACAAGCCACTGTGTCTGGTCCTTCACTTTACCAGTCAGTTAATGGAATTACCTACCTGCTTAAGCTGACTTTGTTACCTGATAGCTCAGCAAAGTTCAGTCCTTGAGCATACCTTGGCTTTGGTTCTTACTTGATACCATATCAGAAGCCTGCCATGAGAACTTGGCGTGAGTTGCTCAGTTAAGTACATTGCCATGCATCCAAGTTGTATTTTAAGTTGAATCACAAAGAAGTTCTAAAATACTGCATCCTACTAGAAAGTTTGGAAAGTAGATGAGATACCCAGGTGGAGCTAGCTTACTAAGTTTATCTTTGAAGACGCTTTGGCTCACAATTTAGGTATGGCATACACATTCACATTTGGGTTTAATTCTGTTGTGCCACAAATTTATTCTAGTTTGCAGACAAGAAGCCAGCATATTGAGATGAATTTGCAGAGGTCAGCTTATATGTGGCAGAATTGGAGTATGAATCCAAGACTGTGTCATTTATAAAGCCTTTCCAAAGGGCAGTTTTGGAGAAATTACACTTAACCAATTTAAAAATGGATGTGATATTTAGTTTGATGGACACCATAGAATATTAGGTGATCATGACCTTCCCTTTTTGGAGAGAAGAAGAATGCTATTCTGTTACAGAAACAGTCATTCAGTGACACTTGTTGAAAGCATAGGAAGTATTCATGATGTAAATGGAGACATAGCAGTCTGACTTTTTTGTGGGGGGGAGAGAGAGAGAGAGAGCACTCTCAGCTCTAAGCACAGAATAGATTAGTGAGAACTTGCAACCAAGGAGGCTGTCAGTGTGCGGAAAAAAGTAGGAGACAGTGTAGGAGCCTGGGAGCTCTGGCCATCCTGTCCTAACAGGAGTCTTCATGCTGCTTTCTTTTCTTTTCTTCTTGTGCTGGTTCTGGGGTTTGAACTGGGCACTGGGCCTTAGCTTTTCTTGCTCAAAGCTGGTACTCTACCACTTGTATCCCATCTCCACTTCTGACTTTTTGGTGGTTAATTAGAGGTAAGAGTCTCATGGGCTTTTCTGCCACGGCTGACTGTAAACTGTAATCTTCAGGTTGCAGCCTCTTGAGTAGTTAGGATTACAAGTGTGAGCCATCAGTCCCCAACTATCACAAGATTCTTACAGAAGACAGGTCAGGGTGTTCAGAGCTGTGAAAACTGGTAAGATGAAAAGTGATGTGACAGAGAGGGAGGGTTTATAACTAAATGGACTTTACAGAGATCTTGCTACAGCAGGATTGTATAAGAACACAGATGGAGCTATGAGAAGTTTTGGAGCCTGACTGAAATGATTCCACAGGAAATCTTTGTCACATCTTAAGCACCCAGCACATAGTAGAAGTGGACAGCCCCATGCTGTCAGCAGAGAGCTCCCTTCTGCCTTCAGGCTTGTCCCTTCCCTTGTTGAAGACTTCTAGGTCTCCACTTGACTCAGACGTTCTCTGCATGACTCCTATCTTGTGAAATGCACGAGTACTAGATCTCACACATTCTGTGAGGAGGACAGCACAGTGGCCGTCAGCATTGATCAGGTGCTCCCTGCCACCCCAGGCCCTGCAGTGCTTGCATTCTGGCCTTGCTCAGCACCTACTCTGTGCCAGGCCCATAGACAAGGTGAGGCCTCTGCCCCTGCAGACAACTGTGTCTGAATATCAATGAAGTGAGAGAGGTGGGTTCAGTTAGTACCAACAAGTAGCTGAGTCTGCTTCTCGGAGGCCCCATCTGTTCTTTTGGTCTTTTGCTGAGATTTGCTGCCATACATTGTATGCCTCGTCTCAGATATTCCCCAGCCTTTCTTCCAGGCCTCCGACTCTGCAGTAGAACCTCAAAGATAGCAGTGCAAGCCAAGTGAACTGGCATGTGTGAATGCATGTTGGGGGTTGCTTTTGCAACCTGTCTTTTAAAATGGCATATGAGGCATGCTTTACTCTCTTGCCTGCTGCTACCCTTTTCCTGCCAAGATCAGGTGAGATGAACTCCCAGAAGCAGTAATAGGGGAGGACCCTGGGGCTGGGGCTGTCTTTGCTGAGAGAGAGGGCACTCCAGATTATTATTATTATTGTTGTTGTTGTTATTATTATAGCTTTTCTCCTGAAGAAGGTCACTGTCCCAGTTGCCCTCTTTCTTCCAGAGCAGACAGTGAGCAGAAATTTTCTGCCCGTGGATGGCGGGACTGTAGGGTCAAGGACTCTCACAGAGCCTCTGATTTAGGCTTCATTAATGGTATAGGTTGAGTATCCCCAACTCAAATATCCACAACCCCAAACGCTCCCAAATCTAAAACCTTCCAGGTGTCAACATGATGTCACATACAGAAAATTATATTACAAGTCAAAATCAAATGCACACCTACCAAAAAGACTGTATAAAATTACCTTTAGACTTTGTAGGTTAAGTGTATAGAGAAAAAAGTGAATTTTGTGTTTACAAAACACACACAAAAAAAACTTGGGATCTCACTCACAGGTTATTATTGTGCTTGTGTAGATATCCCAAAACTGAAAAATATATCGTTCCAAACACCTGGTCCCATGCACTTCAGAATAAGAGGTGTTCAACTTGTATAAATACATAATCATGCTGAGCTGCTGTAGGACACAGAGGAGCCTGGCCCAGGAGCTCACAGAGATGATGCTTTCCCCAGAAATCACTGCAGTTATTTTAGGAGCTTAATAAGCCTGGTCTTGCCCAGATTATTTAAATCTGACTTTGTACATGGTATTCAGAAACTGGTAATTTTAGAAGGCTACAAGGAATACCATTGTTCAGTTAAGACTGAGAATTACAGACGCAGAGATTACGTATAGAGCTGCAGACTAGATAGGAGGGCCAGTAGCCTTACAGAAAGTCATCTAACTCATCCTTCTCTCCTTAGTTTTTATGACCCTCTCGTACAGGAAGAACAAGAAGAGATTAATAAGATTCTTTCAGGTCTGTTCCTCTTTTCGCATCCAGTCTTCTGGAAGGCTGGCAGCTTGACATTGGTCATCTGTTGGGATCACTGGGCAGTTAGCTGCAGAGTATGAGGACACATCTGTCTCATCTTGAGTCTTGTCCTGTCTGGGCTGCGTTCTAGTCTATTCTATAGCCATCCCGGGTGGAAAGCTCCAGTTGAATGTTTGCGTTACTCTCTGCATGAGGGTCAGTTGTCCAACAGACTGAGATTGTATTCCTCAGAACTTAATGTGATGTCTGACCCATCATGGGTCCCAGAGAGAAGTAAATTCCTCCAGGTAGTGTCCTTTGAAGATCTTTACATTGGGGCTGGGAAGATGGCTCAGTGGTAGAATGCTTGCCTTGCATGCCTGAGGCCCTGGGTTCGATTCCTTAGCACCACATAAGCAAAAAGAAAAAAGCCAGAAGTGGCGCTGTGGCTCAAGTGCTAGCCTTGAGCTGAAGAGCTGAGGGACAGCGCCCAGGCCTAGAGTTCAGGCCCTACGACCGGACCAAAAAAAAAAAAAAGATCTTTACATTTTGGTGATTTTGCTACCTTCTCACTATTGGACATAATTTTGAAGTAGGGTGAGATGTGACTTGAGATGCTTTGAAATTGTATCACTTCCCTTTCAAGGATCTGTTTTAGTATTGGTATCCCCAGGATTCCAAGGGACCCCAATTTCCAGTGCTGGTGTGCTTTTTCTTGGCAGGCCTAACTGTTCATTTCCTTCTAGGTATATGGATCTGGATCTCAGACGAGGGCTTTCCAGTATGTCAGGTAAGGCTGTGTGACTTAGCACTGGCTGGGAACTGGGGAATAGACTTGGACAGCTTAGTATCTGCGGTGTGTGTTATTTCATTCTTCTGTATATGCTGGCTAACAGTGACGTTTAATGTTAGAAATGGAAACCTCTTGCTCTTTTTCTGAAACTTAAAACTAATAGAATGTGCCTATAAATCTACAAGTAAATACACTGGATAGTAAAAGAAAAAAGAATACACTAGGACATGATAAAATATACAGGTGGTCTCTGGGCATTCACACAGAGTGAGCCTAAGAGAGGACATTGTTAGGAGAAGATCACATAGGTACAATAGCTATGTACATATCGCCATATAAAATAATATTTATTGAAACGAACTCCAGGAATTGGAAACAAGAGGTTTTGTTTTTTTCTTACTTGCTGTTTTTGTTATCATCTCCTTGCATATTGTTTTGGGTAACGCGGGGGGATACAGAAATAGTGAGACAAACGGTGAACAAATGCAGTGGTGATTGTTATTAGATGCTGTGTTGAAAATGAATTAGACAACTTGTGGGTGGAGACAGAGGGAAAAACTGGGAGATAGTGAGGGAAAGGATGACATTGTTCAAGAAGAAATGTAGACTTCATAACCATAATCCCTGTGTACATCACCTTTACAGCAACAATAAATAAATTTTTTAAAAAAACATCTGTTCATCTTCGTCACTTCTGTGACTGCTGAGTTAGTCTTTTACTGCCACCTAGTGTTGTGGAGGTGAAGAGGCCCAGTGCTGAGGGGCAGATTGTGTGATCTTATTGCAGGCCAAGTTAAGAGGTAGCTACTCCGATCATCCTTCAAGCCTGCAGGTAGTGAAATCAGGTCCATTTAAAAAGTGACTTTCTAGGGTAGATGACAAAGTAGTATAACTTCAGAACTTTGTTCTGAAACAATGCAGGAAAAAAATAAATTCTTTTTTTTTTTGTCGGTAGTAGGGCTTGAACTCTAGGCCTGGGCACTGTCCCTGAGCTCTTCAGCTCAATGCCAGTGCTCTACCACTTGAGCCGCAGTGCCACTTCTGGTTTTCTGGTGGTTAATGGGAGAAGAGTCTCACACACTTTCCTGCCTAGGCTGGTTTTGATCTGAGCCTCCTAAGTAGCTAGAATTACAGGTGTGAGCCACCAGCACCCAGCTAATAGTATATTCTTTAGAATAATTTCATGTGATGCTTTTTATTGTTGTAGGCTTTTTTTTTTCTTTGCTTGGTTAGTTAGTTACTTTTGTGTGCAGTCCTTTTAAATTAATTTTTGTCATTCAGTGCAATTGACTAACTGTAGAGTGTTATATGGATTTTGAGAGAAGAGTTACAATACCAAAGTTCTACCCACCACTGACATGGCTATTATAAATCTGTAGAAGTTTCTAATCCCAGTTCATTATAAAAACCCATTTCTATATTTTGTCATCATGTAATTTTATTCTTTGATGTAAATACTCCAGAATGCCTGATGTGCCATTACTGGTGTCTTGGGCCATCTCAGAGACATGGCGAGGATTAGGTTGGCTATGGAATGCAGGTCTAGCCAGCCCTCAGTTCTACCTCAGCCAGAGCAACCACGTGGGCTTTTACCTGATTAGACAGGTCACCTGGAAGGAGTCTCTTAGAAAAACATAGAACTACTAGCAATAACTTACAAGGTTAAATCAGCTACTGTTGATTTTTCTCAGTAGTAGTCATAAATTCTTAGATTTAGTCCAGAAGAAACAAATATACACCTTATTCAGTGTTTTTTGGCGGTTTTTTTCCCCCTACCTATGACTGTCTCACCAAAACAAAGCAAAAAGCCTATCAGGGAAATATATCCAGCCCACATATGGCCCAACAGGACCTTATTTGAAGAAGGCAGTTTAGTGGGGAGATGGCAGCTGTCACTGCTTCTAGACTCTTCCTGTTTCCAATCATGTATCTCAGGCACGATGTGCCGTGGGAAACATAGCTGTCAGGGTACTCTTCTGCAGCAGGACTGTGTCAGTCAGACAACTTCTTTCTGCTGAGTGCCATCTTTTCAAAATAATATGTTTGTCTCCCATCTTCCACCACCCACTTCCTGAGGCAGGGTTAATATCCTCAGGCACACACGCACCTTGGATTTCCTAACTTCCTCAGCTCCCACATCACATGGAGGATCACAAGACTTGATGCAGTATAAAGGGAAACGAGTTACCTCCCTTCTTTTTACTGGGTGCATTATTCCGAAGGTATCACATACAAAATTTATTTTAATAGCTTCAGATTCTTGGTCTAGGGGTTGGGGTACTAAGTAAGATATTCTAAGAACTCAGGAATGCCTGTGCATCTGCAGTGACATATCCGTGTCAGAGTAAGACAAACCCGTGGTGACAGGCCTGCATTGACAGCCATGGCTCACACTTGGTTTCTGTATACACATATACACACACAGTCCAGGCACAGACAGCTTGGAAAGAAGGCTTAGGTACTTTTCTTGAGAACGTAGGTGTGAATCCTCTTAGCAAACCCTATCTCCATGATGCTACAGTGCTTTCTCACTGTGGTGATAGCCAGTGACCAAGCTTCAGGGTCTTTCCACACTGGGGCCAAGAATTCCACAACATACATTCATCCATACATTCATCTGAGAACTGACCAGTTCACGTATTCTCTCTCTCTCTCTCTCTCTCTCTCTCTCTCTTTCTTCCCCTGTCTGCCTGTCTCTCTGTCTCTCTTTGTCCCTCTGTCCCTCTCTCTGTCTCTCTCTCTCCAGTCTTCATTCTAGTACTAGGTCTTGAACTTGGGGACTGGATTCTGTCCCTTAGCTTTTTACTCAAGGCTGGCACTTTACCACTTGAACCAAAGTTCCACTTCTGGCCTTTTGCTGGGTAAATGGAGAAAAGAATCTCATGGACTTTGATGTCCAGGCTGTCTTTGAACCAAGATGCTCAGATCTCAGCCTCCTGAGTAGCTAGAATTACAAGTTTGAGACAGCAGTTGCTGGCAGTTTTGTTCTTAACCAGCTGCTATTTTAGGAATTGAGAATCTTTTACTTCACCGAAAAGAAAAAACAAACTTTAGAATACCTGAATCCATATTTACTATACTAAATTCACTGTCCCCAAGAGCCACGATTGCCTTGAAAGCATCGCGGGGACCCAGAGACCTAGGTGTCACCTGCATCAGCATTTGGCATGACTGTCTGAATTTCCATAGTCGGGTTCTGTCTCCATTCACATAACAAGGCATGCTGTATTTATTTAAAAAGTCACTTTGTCAAAATGACACTTTTAAAGGGCTCAGGTGAAATGAGTGGTCTAAGCAATTTTGACCTTAAAAGTTGCCAGCTAGTTACATAAAAGATGCACGCCCCCCCCACCCCGTCCTCTCCCCATGAAGATGACTGCTTAAGAGTCAGCATCTTCCCACTTCAGGTGACCCCACCTCCCATGCAGCCTGAAGACCTCTTATGGGTGCTACTGAATGGCAGCTTTTAATGTCTCCTTTTAAATTTGCATAGCAGATCGGGATGCCTAAGAATACTGCCATAATGATGAAGTGACTTTTTGCCAGTTCCTATTTTAAAAAAAAGGAGTCATCCAAGGTCAACAGTGATTTGCATTTACACTTGATCTGAGAGTAGAATGTTAAGCATGTTCGTATAAAATACCCATTTGTTGCGAAAGGAAAAGCAGAACTAATCTGTTTACTGAATGCCCCCTCTCCCCCAGTTTTTTTCTCCCTCAATCAAAAGGAAGCCAAAGAAATCCTAGATTTTCTTTTGAAAGTTGATCATGACACACAATGACCTGCTCCTCACTGGTAATTATGGAAGAAGAGGAGGGAGAGGTTTCAAAGTAGACTTCTTTTGGATCACCAGGAAAAAAAAATCTTCAGACATTTAATAAGAGTAGCACATGAACAGTAGCCTTAGAGAAAGTTCTTACGTTTAGCAGTGAGGTGTCATTTTTACGAAGTAACTTTTTTTTAACAGAGCCACACTTTAAAGCTTCTGAAAATAAGAACCAAACTTTGGTAAGCGAAAATTTGCTTACTTACCTTCACCTTCATGGCCCAGTCAATCATGATCCATCTGAAACATCCTGACACCCCTACAGTTTCATGTGAGGTGTTTTGAGGGGTGGGTTGGAGGTTGGAGGGTAGGGAGCACTGCTTCTGGTTGATTTCAACACTCAGTGTAGTTTGGCTTTGTCTGTGATTTGCCAGTATGGAGACTACATACTGGAGTCCATTCATTTCAGCAGATTTTATTTTATAAACTAGTCATGCTTTTGTACAGGTCAACTAACTTGGGTTCACAGTAAACCTGGGCTTCCATTGGAGACTTCTGCAAACCCCATCTTTTTCAGGTGTATTGTCTATTTTAACTTCCTTTTTGTTTTTACTTGGTCCAGGATTTCTGAAATGCACGGTGCAGGGGGAGGGGGAGGCAAACTCCACCCTATCACCCAGGTTTCATCATCCTGTTTAATTCTCCCACCCCACCTACAAAAGCAAATCCCAGATGTCATACATGTCATTTCATCCATAAACATGTTAGCATTATTATGTACCACATTTTTTTTTTAGGGTTTTATTTTGGCATCCAGTTTTCCATGAGGGTGTTTGTTTTCTCCTGGGAAGTGGTAACTTTTCTTTTGGGAGGGCAGTCCCTGGTGCAGGGGGCTCAATGCTGGCATGCCTCTGTGTGCAAGGCCTGAGCCACCTCCCCTTCTCTTCCAGCGATCTGGTGAATGGCCTGGTGGCTCTCATGAACAGTAATGTCAGCAGCCCTGTCAATCTGGTAAGTGTTTCTCCCCGCTCAGCTCTCCCAAGGCAGTCCAGGTCATGGTGAAAGGCCCCTTTGCTTCATTTGCTCTTAGCATGTTTAGGGCACATCTATTTGTGGTGTGCTAAGTACTCAGTAAAAGCAAAACAAAGCAAAGTAAGATACACAAAGAAGATGTCTGCCAGACACAGTGACCCACGTAATAAACAGTACAAAACTGCCTGTGTCTGCAGGGCCCTCGTTTAAAGATCAGGACTGTAAGTTATAGCCACTTCGCCCTGCCTGTATCCCCAACCATCTCCTGTTGCAGGAACAACCCTCAAGTAGTTTTGTTCCATCTCATCCAAAGTTGAGCACTTTCAGGATGAGGAGCTTACTTCTGCTCAAATCAAAGCAGGTCACTGTCTTTAGCCAGTTCCCACCAGCAGGAAGTTCTTCATCTTTAGATTAAAATCCCATGTCCCTCCTGCATACCCAGTAACTTCACTTCCCCTGGGAGCCATTCACAGCAAACTTCCAAGGGTTTTGCAGAGCATGTGTCCCACCAGGTCCTCTCACCAACCTGTCCCTGATTCCTGATTCTGTCCCATCTCCTATAAAACTTATGTTCCAAATGGGTCAACCATCTAGCATTCACAACACTCCACCAATGAGAAGCTACCTCAAGAGTCCTGTCACCTGTTAAGATGCTGCCAGTCCCTGCTGGGCCCTCACAAAGCCTTCAGGTCATTTCAGGTCTTCTGAACTATACCTTCTGCAGTGCTTTAGGGGTCTGGGGTTTGCAGGGGGCGAGGGGAGAGGCAGAATGCATGCCTGAAAGTTCTTGAAAGCTGTAACCAGCCATCTCAATCACTTTCAAAACCATTGGTTTTCTCCTGAGTTGAGAGAGAGTTTTTATCTTGGAGGAAGTGGACAGCAGTGTGCTTACCTAACTGTGCTTGGATTATTGTGGGTTCATGGGTACAAGTTGGCTGCAGCGCGGGGTCAGTGTTCCATTGATGCACTTTGGAAAAACCAATTAACTTAACAGAAAGTACCTCCATTCTTTTGGAGCCTTTGCCCACCTGATACGCAGTAGACAAAGCCATTTTTGTCCAAGTTCCCATCCTCCACTTTGCCAGTCTGGCTTTCTTTGTACTTACAATTAGGCACCTTTTTGCTGCTTTAAACTTCTAGCTTCAGACCATCTGAGGAAATTGGGAGTAAAGAGAATTGAGGGCACAGAATTCCCCCCCATCCCCCATTACTGTGGTCTCTTGTGGCTGGGGTGGTGACAACCGAATAAAAAGAGCCAGATAAGGAAGGGGATTTGATGGGAAGGAGGGAGGAAAACAATTTTCCTAACTCCTCCCCTCCCCCCCAAAAAAAGATAAGCTCACTTTACACAGCTCATGGAGACAGTCCTTTTGGCTTCTCTACCTGCTGGCATAAAAGTCATCATGGTTGTCACAGCTTTCTCTGCCAGCTTCAAGCCCTCTGTTACTGAAGTTGTTGGCACCCAGAGGGAAGGACATTTTCTTAGGAGAGCTAAGATTATGAACCCAGCCTTCATGAAAAGTAGCACAGCTGTCACAAGAATGTAGATACAGCAGTGTTCTAGGGCTGGGGAAGTAGCTTTAGTGGTAGAGCCTGTGTCTATCAACTATAAGATATTGAGTTAAAAAATAAACAAGGAAGGAAGAAGGGAAATTCAGCCAGTAGTGTCTCCTTGTTAGGTGTCTTTGTCCTGCCTGAAGGCTGTTCTTGTGCACTGACAGACTAGAGGACTCAGGTTAACCCTTGGCCAGGTGAGTAACCATCACCTTGAAGCATTTCAGTGATTCAGAGAGCTCAGGTGAAAGTACACAGGACAGCAGCTGCATCTGGTGGCTTTTGGGACAGACTTTTGGGCCAGCAAGTATTTCCCAAGTTGTTTTTGTGGGTTGATAAGGGATGACTACTGTGGTAATTTCATTTTTAACTGAATCCCATTTCTTCCTTAGGGAAACCCTGAAGAACACACAATCCTTGAATTTGCCCAGTTAATTAAAAACCTAGTTGGTAAGTACAAGAAACTACCCAAAAGAAACCAGGTATACTTAACCTGATCTGTTGATAACGTCTTGACTAAAAATTGGGTAATGAATACAAGCTGATTTAGTTGGATCAGAGCAGAACATTTTATTAGGAACACTTCGTTGTTTTCTAGTTCTTTAATCAAGTAACAGAAAAGGGGGATAGGTTGGTTTGGTTCATCATCTTAGTTGCAAGTCTGTGTGAATTGGAAGGAGGTAATCTGTTCACTGTGTCTAACTTGAGATTGTGTTAGTTCCTCCTGCATCAGTAATGTGACTTCATGTACAAGCACAGGTCCTGTTGAGTATAGAATTTCAGAGAGGGAGTACCACCAGCTTGTAGGTTTCTGGCCTGTCTGAAATGCTTTGTGGTTCTGGCCAAATTGGCTTATGTTGGTGGTCAACATTTTAGTATTGTCTGCGTCGAGGTAGGAGAGGATTCTGTGGTTAGACCACAGGCAGAGAGTAGGTGATCCCTCAGCCTCACCTTTAGGTTTATGGGAGCTCCAGAAAGCCCGGCTCCTGGAGAGGTCCTTTCTGAGTTTGATCCAGAAATTTGAGTTCAGGTTCACACCAGCCTGCCCTAGTTGGAGGGCCAGGTATATGATGTGCATGCTGTTGGCCACTCTGGAGTGACCATCCATACCCCACCAAACTGGGTGGACTCTTCCAGGTTGGGATTGGGCCATTGTTCTAACTGACTGGACAGGTGGGATCCTGGTTCCAGGAGACAGTGGAGGCAGAAGCCTTCCCGACACACTAACTCTAGCACTTTTCAACATCAGCAACCCCACTGAGACCTGCTTCCCCAGCTTTGCATTCCAACCCTGTGTGTCCCTCACAAGATATGATCACTGTGTTTGTGCCACCCATGCCTTCTAAGCCATGCTGCCCACAGTCAGGCCATCCTGGACAGTGAATGAGATAGGGACTCTTGGCCTCACCCTGTCACCTGTATCTCCCAGATCAGAATCTTGCAGTTTCACAAGTAGCTCTAGTGGACCACTTGCCCTTTGGTGCTTGAGAAGTCCCCATCTTCAACCCAAGAAGGTTGGGTTAATGGGATCCCCAACCATGTTGCTACGTGTTCCAGTGCATCAACCACCCTATCTGCTTAAACAACAGCTGTTTTTATTTGTTCCCAGTTCTGCCATCAAGGCCAGCCTGCACTGAAGATTTCTTCTGTGAGTCTGGCTGATGTCACTTATGTGGGTTTATTCCACGATGGTGGGTCTGGGCTCACCGAGGGTGCCAAGCCAGCCAGGCTTTCCTGTTCTCTCTATAAGCCCTCCGTCTGATACCTAAGACGTTTTAGTCCTCTGCTCATGCTTGCTCTGACCAGAGTATCAGTGGCTAGGTCTTGTGAGCTAAAGCTGGTCAGTTATCCGCCTGCACTCTATCAATTGAACAAAAGGAAGGCTACTTGATTCCAGGGAAGCATGGCCGGCCAGTTGGTGGGATCCACATCATACCTGACTATCCCACTGCTATTCTGTCCCTTCAGAATATCCTTTGTAGTTTTCATGTGTGTTTACTAACATGGAAGGTCTGCCTTATGGTGTTCAGGTGAATATCCCTCCCCTTCCTTTCCAGCTGAAGGCACAGAAAGAGGCCAGGACACCTACAGGGTCAGTTGCCAGGGTCAGCCAACCATAGCCATGGCACATATGCTGCCTGAACTTCCAAGGACGGTCACTTTTTCTTTCTCTCATGGCTTTGTATGAGGTGCTGTCACACAGTCTGTGCCCTGATTCACTCCACAGATGGTATTTTACTTCATTGCACATGGTAGAATGGCACACACGCAGGTGGTCTGGAGTTCTTTTTTAACTATTTTTTTCTTTTTTTTAAATAACTCAGGTAGCAGAAGTGAAATTCAGTTTCTCTCTGAAGCCCAGGATGACCCACAGAAAAGAAAACCAGACATCAGGAAAGCAAAGCTGATGCTGGGGTGGGAGCCTGTGGTAAGTGTGGGGAGATTCATCTGCCACCCCCTGTATCCTGTGTCCTGGGCACTGGCCCTTGTTGGGAGACTCCTATCTCAAAAGCAGAGTGAAGTGGGCTCTGGCATTCAGGCAGGTATAGGGTTTTCTCCAGGCCAACAAGAGGTTTCTTTCCCCCTTACCAGGTATCTCAGCCTCTTATGTAGAAAGACCCAGGCCTGCTGTGGGCCCTGTTGTCCTGAAATCACATGCATGGCTCCATCTCTAAAGAACTACTGAGGTGGAGATGTCAGCATTCACTCAGTTGTGGGCACACTTACTGGGCTGGGCAGGGTTACTATTTGAAGAGGAAGAGCCAGTCCACATCAGCCCCGAGGCAGGTGGGACCCTAGGCTAGAAGTGTGCAGCCCTGAAGGGTAGGGAGGATCCCAGTGCCTTTCTGGAGCTCTTGGGCAAAGTCAGACCCTTCGCTGGCCTGTCACACACAGTAAAGGGTACTCAGCCTGCCTCCATCGCGCTCACCTCCTTCCCTTGCAGGGAGTTGAGTGCTCCTGCCACACTTTCTAATGCCCATCCCACAGTCCATAGGGGGTCATGTGGCTGCTTAAGGACTCTGTCCTTCAGACACTAGCTCCTTAGAGATTTCTGCCCATTCCAGCTTTATTGTAGGAGCCAGCCTGCCTCATTTACTATCTGCTGTGTCTCATCCTTACCTCATAGCTACCTCCTGTGTACCCCCAATGGAGTGTGGCTCTCCTGGAGCAGAAGCATGTGCGGTATTGTGCGTAGCAGCAGTCTCCTGCCACCGAGGCAGGAAAACATTACCCATCCATACTAGTGGATAAATGTTGGGCCATCCTAGACATGGTCCAGTAGGTATGGCTGCCTCACCTGCAGGTACAGTCAGAGAGGCAAGGGTGAGCCCAGAGCTCAGTTTACCTTTTAAAGATGTAAAATGTCATCAAAGCAGGGTGGTTAATGCCTGTAATCCTAGGTACTCTGGAGGCCAAGACCAGTAGCATCACAGTTTGAGGCCAGTCTAGGCAAACAATTCATGGGATCCCATTTCAGCCAATAAAAGCTAGGGCACTGGTCTGTATTTGTCACCTCAGCTCTACATGGAAGGCATAAATAGAATCATGGTCCAGGCAAGCCCTGGCATAAATGAGAGACTCTATCTCAAAAACAAGTAAAGCAGAAAGGACAAGAGAGAATGCTGGCTTAGCTAGTACAAGGCCCCAAATCCAGACTCTTAATACCATGAATGAATGAATGAATGAATGAATGAGTAAAATGAAATAGAACTGAGTAAGTGCTAAACCCTGAAGGGACATAAGAGTCCAGACCAACATTTACTCTGTCTTGTGATAGCTGAGGTCTGAGGGATCTACTAGAGATCACAGAAATGCAGTGTGTGATATAAAAATATGATTATTCCCCCAACTTAAAATGCAGTAATACCAGTTATGGCATGACTTTGCAAGTCATGACAGAGACTTTGTTCCTTGGGTATTTTTGTTTGGTTTGTTTTGGATTAATTGATTAATTTTGCTAATATTGGAGCTCAGAGCCTTGAGCTTGCCCAGCTTACTTGCTTGGCTGATGCTTTACTACTTGAGCTATACTTTTTATTTTGGCAATGGAGTCTCAAGGATTTTTCTGCCCAGATTTGGTTTGGATCATGATTCTCCCAATCTCAGCCTCCTGAGTAGCTACGATTACAGGTACCACCAGAACCCAGCCTGTTCCTTTTGTGTGTGTGTGTGTGTGTGTGTGTGTGTGTGTGTGTGTGTTTGGGGGGGGGGGGTGTAAAATGTTGTACAGAGGGGTTACACATTTTAAGGCAATCAAATGTAAAGAAACACCCCCCCCAACCTGATTGTGCTTTGCATGCCTCTGTGTTGAGTCAGAGCCATTCTCACAAGGGTGAGGTGATATCTCATGGTTTTGATTTGCATTTCCCTGGTAATTACTGATGTTGGGCATTCATGTACTTTTGTCCACCTCAGTATCTTCCATAGGAAAGTTGTCAAGTTTTGTCTGTGGCCCACTTTTTTATTGTGTTTTGCTTTTGAGTTGTTTAGAGTTCCTTACATGTTCTCATTAACCTTCTCTGATCTGTAGTTTACAAGCATTCTCTCCCATTTTATAGCTGTCTCTGCTGCTATTGATTATTTCCTGTACTCTGCAAAGCTTTGTAGTTTGATAGAATCTCCTTTGTCTATTTTGCTTTTGTTTTCTGTGCTTCAGAAGTCTTAACTGTCCAAGCTTATTGAGGTTTAATGCACACGAGGCAAAGTATTCACATTTAAAATATGCAATTGTATAAGTTTTGCTGGTTTAACACCTGTGAAATTACTACCATCATCGATACAGACAACCCCTTCCTCCTAACAGTTTCCTGCTTGCCCTTGGAATGCCTCTCTCCAGTTTTCTCTTTATCCTCTTCATTAACAGCTGATACGGCTTCTGTTTCCTGTTTGCTATAAGGCAGCATTCAGTCCATGTCATATTCTAGGGTATGGTGTTGTCATGGTCCCTCTGTGCCTCTTCTGCCATTGAGAATGCAGGTAGACCCATCTGCCAGGAAGTGCAAAGATCATGGGAGAAGATCAGGTTCTAGGGCAGATGCAAATAGCCTTCTTTTTTATTTTTTTTAAATTATGAAAATACCATACACAGGGGTTACAATTACACGAGCAAGGTAATGAATACATTTCTTATCAAGCATTGTTGCCTCCTCCTTTGTTTCCCCTTTTTAAATTTTTTTTTTGTATCAGTATTAGGTCTTGAACTCAGGGCCTAGGCACTGTCCTTGAGCATTTTTGCTCAAGGCTAGAGCTCTACCACTTGAGTCACAGCTCCACTTCCAACCTTTTTGGTGCTTAATTGGAAATCATAATCTCACAGACTTTTCCTGCTTGTGATGAGTTTGAACTGCATTCCTCAGATCTCAGCCTCCAAAGATGACTTTCCTAAAGCATCCTCCCTTTACCTCTAGGTGGATTTTTTCCCAAAAGAATGGGGCCTTTGTACATTACTTTAAAAGTGATGCAACTAATTCTGACTGGACAAGAGGTGATTTAGAGTCTTGAGGGGAGGGTCTCACTGTACAGTAGTGCATTACTTGTTGAATCACACATATTCTAAAAGCAGCCTTTTTATTTATTTATTGCTAATTATGGGGGGTTGAACTCAGGGGCCTCATATTCTCACTCTGCTTGCTTATTCACTTGACTGGTACTCTACCACTTGAGCCATACCTCCAGCCCAGCTTTTTTGCTGATTAGTTGAAGATGGAATGTCTTAAGATTGTTTCCTCTGGCCACCTGTGAGCTTCAGTCCTCTACTCTCAGCCTCCTCATGACCCAGCTCAGAAAGCAGATTGTAAGGATCTCTCTTCTACAGAAGAGGCCTTGGCTCTTGACCAGCTTGTGGCTTTATGAATATCCCCAGAGAGGAACCACCTGACCCCAAGTCAGCACTTTGTGGATACCATCCTGTTTCTTTCAAAGATGCCCCTGACTTTCATGTGATCCCATCTCTCTTATTTTCTCTCCAACAGGTCCCACTAGAGGAAGGACTGAACAAAGCAATTCACTACTTTCGGAAAGAACTGGAGTACCAGGCAAACAATCAATACATTCCCAAACCAAAGCCTGCCAGAATAAAAAAAGGTCGGACGCGCCACAACTGAGGCCCCACTTGGGACACGAGACTCCGTTTTACACTTGATGAGATGTATTTTTGTTTTGTTTGGGTTTTGTTTTTATTTTGTTTTGTTTTTTAAAGAAAGACTTAAACAGGTGTCATGAAGAACCAACTGGAATTTCATTCTGAACCTTGCTTTAAAGACGTGGATGTGCCTAAAATTTCCCTCAAAAAAAAACCTACAGCCTTTGCCTTGCACTTTTCAAATCTGTCTTTTTATGTAAAATAGCCTAGATGCATCTCTGTGTATTTTCCAGTTTTTTATCTTGCTGTGAGAGCATACGTTGTGACTGTCATTGACAGTTTTATTTACTGGTTTCTTTGCGAAGCTGAAAAGGAACGTTAAATGGGACAAAAAATAATGCCGATTTTATTTATAAAAGTGGGTACTTATAAATGAGATGTTATACTATGCATAAAGAATAAAAAAGAAAAAAAAAACTAGCAGTATTGTCAGGTGGATGGGGCACCGGCATTTATTTTGGAACAGGTAAAAGAATTCTGTTTGAGAGCTTTATGTTTCTTTTTTAAAATCAGAATTTTTCCAAGGTCTAGTTTTTAGTTGCAAACTTGAATTTGAAATACTTGTGTTGATTCTTATGATCCAAGGATATTGAAATCACTACTGTATTGTGCTGCATTTTCAGGGGTGGGGAGACAAAATTAACGTATTCTTGGTTAACCGTGGTTATAAATATGCTATTTTAATAAAATATTGAAACTCAACAGTTATGGGCTTTCCATTTCAAAGGCTGGCTTTCTACTTTGCATATAACATGGTTGGATTGATGCCTGGCATAGTGGCTCAAGCCTATAATCCTAGGTACTTGGGGAGCAGTGATTGTAGTTTAAGACCAGCTTGGGCCAAAAGAAGTTAAGAGGCTCTATCTCAACCAATGGCTGGGTATAGTGGTGCAGATCTATTATCCCAGCTCTGGGGGAAGCACAATGAGAGCACTGTGGCATATGACCATCATCTCTGCAACATAGGGATGTGCTAGTAACACAGTCCAGTCCTGCCCCAACATACAGCAAGACACTACCTTAAAAAACCAATGCAAAAAAGAGGTCAGAGGCATGGCTCACATGATAAAGCACCTATCAAATAAGCATGAGGCAAAAAAAAAAAAAACATTGTTTGACGTTAAGGAAATGAAAATTTAGTTTAAAAGAAAATTCAAAAAACATTCAGGTTTATGTAGCATGTAATTGGATATGTGGATATTGAAAACACTTCTCTGCTGCTTGTATGAGGTCTGTGTGTGTGACACAGGTTGTGTCTTATTTGTAATGCTTGGAACCAGATTTCATTCAGATTTTCAGTTTTATAGATTTGGGGATATTTAGGTAGGTGTTATTGCCTGAGCAATAAAATCTGAGAAGCTCTGAAATCTGAAACTTCAAGTTTGTCAACGTACAAATCTATCAGATTTCAAATTTTTGGATTAGGGATGAGTGTTCAGTTTACATCCACTGTTTTGTGAAGTTCTTAGTTTTTACCCAGGGTTAGAATCCCTTTTGTATCTTTCTTTAGCAACCTAGGCCAAATTGATCAACAGTTTCATTTGTCGTGCAGAGAAAGGTTTACAAATGAAACTCATTCTGTGAACACGTGAAACCCTTTCATTTTCATCAAGAACTCTTTTAAGGGCTATGATAGGACCTTCTTTTTGCCTTATAATAAGTGAAGAGCAATGTAGTAAGTCAAAACAGCATGTTTCCCAAGTATGTTGGCTCTGACTAGCAACAAAAAAGCCAGAATAGGCACTGAGGGGATAAAGGTGGCAGAGGACAGAAAAAGTGTGTCCTCAGTGTCTGACAACAGGAGAGCCAGGGTGCCCAAGACTTTCTTGGCCTTTATAAACACCTGGGGATTTCTTTTAAATTGAACATGTTTTCAAGTCAGAGTCTCTGAGGTCCCCAAAGGTTCCTGAAACTTTTGTGGTATAAAAAAGAGAGAGAGAGGAGAAAGAAAAAAAAGTGAGAGAAAGGAAGGAAGAAAAGAAGGAAGAGAAGGAAAGAAAAAGGAAGAAAAGAAGGAAGAGAAGGAAAGAAAAAGGAAGAAAGGAGAAAGGGAAAGAAAGGAAGGAAGAAAGAAAGAGAAAGAAAAACATGGTTGACCCACCCTTTCTGCCTTCCTGCTTTCTTGCCTGCCTGCCTCCTTCCCTTCTTCTCTTTCCCTCCTTCCCTCTTTTCCCTGACATAAGTGCATGTCCTATCTGAGCCCCACTTTGGCCTCTTACATTTTTATTTCTGTCACTCTGGCCTGAAGTAGATGATGCACCTTTGATAGAACTGGGAAGCTAACTTGGTAACTACTAAGGATGAGCTCAAGCCATAGATAAGAATGGCTCAAAAGTTTGGTGGAGCAAAGCTTACCTTATACTTGCTAATATCCCAGATGGGATTCAGTCTTAGGATTTTTCATCCTTGTGATTTTCATAAAACGTACTCATTATTTTGCCCATGTAATTGTAACTCCTCTGAATGGTATTTTCATAATAAAAAATTTAAAAAAAAACATTTTCAAAGTAGGGAAAACAAATAGAAGAGGAACAGTGTGTAATTACACTGGATGAGAGGGCTAATACACCTTGGGAAATACTGTGGGATTCAAATTAAGCATCCTAGGCAGAGAGAAAAGTATAATTGAGGGTACTGGAACCAATGAGTAGGTGGACAGGTGAGGACTGCTATGGTTTAAATGTTTGTGTCCCCCTCAAGTTAACAAGTTGAAACTATAATGTAGTGATGTTAACAGGTGAGGTGTTTGTAAGGCAGTGAAATTAAGGGGGCAGAGCCCACATGGAAGGGGTTAATGCCTGTATAGAAGAAGACAAAAGGAGCTGTTTGCCCCTTTTACCTTGTGCTTATGTGTTCTCACTTCTTCCAGCAGACAGGCACCATCGATGAACCAGAAAGTGGACCCTTGTCATACCCCAACTCAGCAACTGGATCGCAGGCTTCCCACTGCTCAGAACCATGAGCAATAAATTCCTGTCATTTATCAACAACCCAGGCTGTGGTATTTTGTTACAGTAGCCTGAAGAGATGAAGACAACACTGCCCCTGCAAATTTGAAACAGATACTTCTCATTAGCTTCAGTGACGGGAGGCTAAGCAAGGTGTAAATGGCAGTGTGAATGTACTGTGTACGTGGCAGAGCTGTGTCCACTTGGATACTGATCCCAATCCACCAGGAGCAGGTGGAATCTCACAGCACCATCACTACTAGAGTCCCATTGGTGATTTTGCTCCTGTTTGTGTTACTAACAGGCTTCCCATGTTGGTTCATGATTCTTAAGTTGTAGGTGAAGTTGACTTCAATGAAATGGTGCTCTGGTCATTGCTTTGGATCATAGTTTGTTTCATAGACTGAGGGATAATGTAGAAAGCCTCCAATAATTCCCTGGTACACAGGAAATGTGTGAGTTTTAATGTATTGTGACTTGTACAGCCAGGCACTGGTAGCTCACGCCTATAATCCTAGCTACTCAGGAGGCTGAGATCTAAGGATCTCCGTTCAAAGCCAGCCCAGGCAGGAAAGTCCATGAGACTCTTATCTCCAGTAAACCATCAGAAAACCGGAAGTGATGCTGTGGTTCAAGTGATAGAGTGCTCGTCTTGAGCTGAAGAGCTGAGGGATAGTGCCCAGGCCCAGAGTTCAAGCCCCACGACCGACGACGATGACGATGACAACAACAACAACAACAAAAAGTGACTTGTATAGTTGGCCAAATCTTTTTCTGTGGTTGGTAGGGAGCTGGAAAATTGCAGTCCCCTGAGCACTGGGACCACAGTATCTGATGCTCTGCTTCAAAGATAGCAGCAGGGTTTGATGTTCTAATGATAGGCTTTCTTGACTGTATCCTGTATGTATCTCAGCCACACTGAGGAATAAGGGCCATTTTTTATCAACAGGATGGGAAGGAAAAAATACAGATTTTTTATTAAGGAATGTTCTGTGGTTTTAATGTGGCTGGAGTGTGTATCCTAGTGGTTTGTGTATTGAAATTGAATCTTTTTGGGAGATAGAAGAGTGGGAATGTACTCGCATTGTGGCATTTCAGGCAGGGCTTTTAGGAGGTGATTGGGGTTGGACAAGATCATCAGTGCAGTCTTATGTTGATCCCTGGTGATTTTATAGGAAGAAAGACCAAGACATTCATTGTCTATTGCCCTGTGCATCTCTGTGCTACCTCAGACTTCTGCCAGGAAAGACATCACCACATGCAGCTTCTGGACCATGAGTCAAAATAAACTTTTTAAAAGGTTATTCAAATCTGTAGTCCTGTGTTGCTAGCAACATAAAATACACTAAACTGAGATCTGAGGACTATGTTTCAGACCTATCCCTGGCAGCAAACTCCGAGTCTCCTAACTTACATTTAACTAGCAAAAAGCAAGAAAAGAAGCCTTGGCTTGAGTGGCAGAGCTCCAGCCTGGGGTGGAAAAGTGATGGGACAGTTTCCAGGTCCTGAGTTCAACCCCCAGTACTGGCACCAAAAAAAAAAAAGTACAAAAAGAAAATCTGTACATAGTACGAGTCCTATATGGACTCTACCTAAATATGCCAGACATGGAGCTTTAGGATTTAATGCCTGAATTGTATTTCAGTCTTGCTTTGAACTAATAGTCCCTATTTCTTTCTTTGGGAAGAGGCATGTTTGTTCTATCCCTGTGTTGGTATTATATTTGGAAAGATATAATTCAATGTGTGTGTGTGTGTGTGTGTGTGTGTGTGTGTGTGTGTGTGTGTGTGTGTGTGTGTATTTACAGGTTTAACAAATGGAAGCATTTACCTTGAATGTCACAGGAGACAGGGCTTCAAAACTGAAGCTAAAAACTGTAAATGGGGGGAAAGTCCCTGACACCTGACCTTCCCACTTTAGAAGGTTAGGTAGTGAGGTTGCCAAGCAGATGTAAGGTGGAGATGAGATGATAACTGTCTTTTTATTACTTCCAGAACACAACTCCAGCTGAGCTGGCTGGCTGACTGGGAGGCTGGCAGCTGGATAGTTAATCACATTCTTTATTCTCAGCTTCCTTGGTCAAAAAGCAGTAGCTAAAGGTTTCCTCTTAGCAGTGTAGTACAGACCTGCCCAGTGGTTTCCTTTCAACATTCGGGCTATTTATTTATCTTTTGAGCTATGATTTCTCTTAAGTTGACCAGACTGGTCCCCAATCTAAGGCTTTAAGTGATCATCCTTCCTCAGAGACCCAAGTAGCTGGTGGTAAGCTTCTTAAATAATAGATGTTTATCATGCTACATTGCTCAGTTTATTCTCGTAAAATATTTCAGCAAGAAAAGGAAATAGAGGTAAAAAGAACAAGACAAGCCAGGAGCTGGTAGCTCATGCCTGTAATCTTAGTTCTTCAGGAGGCTGAAACATGAATATTCTGGTTCAAAGCCAGCCTGGGCAGACAAATCTGAGAGATATTTATCTTCAATTAATCAACAACAACAAGCCAGAAATGGAGATGTAGCTCAAGCAGTAGAGCGCCATGCTTGAGCAAAAAGCAAAATACTGGCACCCCACCCCCCAAAACAGACCAGCAGCAGCAGTCTTAGGTTACAATGAATGAGCCAACTCCAACCCCCCCCCCCCATTTCATTTGAAACACAGTTGATTCCCCTCCTAGATATGTGTTGTAATGTCAGTGTCACATTGCTGGAGTCCCCAGCAGCACAGCTTTGTCTTCTTCCCAAGTCCTTTACATTACGT